CAACCCATGCCAGCAGAAAGTTCAAAACAACACCAAAGTCCCAAGTGGGCAAAGCAGCCATTGAAATCACCAGATTTAACAGGCACCAGCTATCAAAAATGTAGTTTAAAGTGTAAAGTATAGATTTTAGTCGCAAATGCTGTTTCCATTCCAATATGCATAGATGAAAGATAGATCCACCAAAATCACACACAAACCTCTCAGTGTCTTTGAAAGCAAAAGCATCAGGTAAATCCTGGATACTAAACACATCCAAATTCACCAGAGGGTCTGATCATTTACTACCCAAGATACCCAGAAAAATGCAAGGCATCTGCCATTGTCAAGGACAGCAGGGTGACTCAGTGCAGGAAGGGTGACTAAAGCACCCTCCATGTTCCCAGGCTGGGTATCACTCCTATCAGGTCACTGGAGAGCCATTCCACAGTGCAGTGCTGCAGCGCAGAGAAGGTAACAGCATAATACACACTACTGCACAGCACTGTAGCAACATTCCCCAGCTTCAGAAACATCACAGTTTGGAGTTTAAGTTGCCAGGGATGCAGAATCGGGGCTAACAGCTGTTCTAGCATCACTCTGTTCCATGCGAAAGCTGTACTTCATTGCAGGAGTGTCATTGTATGGCTGAGAGAAGATACAGAAGGGCCCAAACACCTCCTTCCAACAGTCCCTATTTACAGAGGGAATACTAAAGAAATTTAAAACAAGAGAATATGAAAATCTCAGTACAGGACAGCAGCAATGGGTGAGAAACTGGATCACACTTCCAGTTCAGTCACACAGGTGGCAAATATAAAATATGCAACTTTTGGCATGACTACCAGCAAAGATAGTAAACACAGACAACAAAGGTATCAGCTACTAGATCTACCATCTTATTTCAGTGGCTAAGCTATAATTAACCTTTAGCCAGACACCTCAATCATGAGAATAGCTGGATTTGCTTTCTGTGAACCCAATCTCGTCTTTATAAACCTTTATGCAGGTTTCCATAGAATCTCATTTACCCTGTTTGAGAATTAAGTGGGATCTTTATGGATCCTCAGAAGAATTTTACATCAATCTACGGGTACCTATGCTACGCTATATGCTGCCAACATGTAGCTTAATACTTTCTTCATGTCAGGTTCTCTAAAGACACCAAGCTAAGTTAACTGACAAGTCCCTCTACCAAGTAAAAAAATACGCCTTGGCACAGCACACAAAATTCTAAGGGCTCATATCTAGTAGCAAAAAAAGAGCGAACCTTACAATAATTTCAGTAAGATGCTAAATGTTCGACTGGTAAGGGCTTCTATTACCTCTAACGGGCACTGGGCATGAAAATGAAGTCTGTACAGCAGCACAGGACATGCCCTTCAGTCCCACTACTTCTACATCTGCTTTTTTATCAAAGCTTTACCACAGCTATCTTTTTCTCTGACTCATTTCAGAGGAGTGCACCTGCATGGCTGTTCTTGCATGTACTTGTTTCTCAGAGGTACATTATAAGAGTGGCAGAGTGAAACGGCTATGACACTCATGCTGCTTGTGATGGTCCTCCTAAGGCCTACTTGAAGAAGCATAAAACATGCTATACTACAATACAGGAAGAAAATATACAAAGGAAAGATGGAGGATGGGTGAGCAGATTCTTCTATTTTCACCTCTCCTGCGCAGAGCACTGCAAAACAAAGGATCATGCCCACACTCACTAGCGGCACAGAAATGTGCAACAACCCAAAAAGCTCCTGTTAGCATCATTTTTTCTGGTCCCACTGCGAAGCATTACAGTAAAGTGGCAATCTTAACACGGCTCTCCATCGCATGCATCTCATGGTCCCACAGTAAATTTAAATCGCAGTGAAACTGAAAACTGTCACTACAGTTCTCAGAAAGACATTTATAACACCCGTTACTCTCTGTTACCGATAGCACAACTACTGTATTCTTCAGTACTGTTAAAATTTTGTTCCTCTTTCTTCATTCCTCAGAAAAGCAGAGTTTAAAGGAAAGGCCAAATATTTACCTTCTGCATAGACTTAGCAGGCAATAATCCTATCATATGTTAAGATTTTACTTTTTTCTTTTTCTTTTTTTTTTAAATCAATGCCTAAAAATTTTCAAAATTCACCAAAACCCATCCACTTTTACTTCAGATATTGCTATTATATACACATACATATTGTTATTTTAAGCTAATAAGCCCAACTGTTTACTCTCACAAAAAACATTGGTCTCCATTAATTTTCTAGTGCAGTAGGTGCAACGGGAAAATAAAACCCTGACTAAAGACGAGATTCTGTATCACATTCTATCATACAAAAACACACATTTTGTAGAATTCACTTTCAACTCTATTTTCACAACTACTGCCTGTGAAAAATCTTTCCTCTCTTTGTATATATAAAAGCAGCTGGTAGAAGCAAACATGGGATCACTACTTTCCAATTAACTTAATCATCCAGCTTTTGCTTATCAGGTACAGTTACCCTCTCTACCAAAGCCTACGAGTATTGGGACATTCTCACAAAGGCCATATCAAGCCTCATTTGTAAAGCACTGTAACAGAGGAAAGAAAACCAAAACAAATCCTGGGCAAATAATAATGTCTATAAAAATGCAACTCTCCATAAATACTCATTTTTATTCTTTCTTGAGTAGATTTTCTACCTGACTGAAGATAAGCATTAGACAACTTATTAGGATTTCTGTGCATTACCAAAATGTTAAGTAGAAGATCTAAAATAAGAATCTTCAACCCTTTTAAAGTTTAAATTTTATGATTATTAACTCCAGGACCTATCCCCAAACAAAAGGAACTCATTTCCAACTTTCAAGTCTAACTCGATTCTTCTAAAACCAAATGAGTGCATAAGATTCCCATTCTCCCTGGTGAGTTTTCAACATTTCTATCTAATTAGATCCGAAAATCAGCCCTGAATTGGCACTGAGACCAGAGTCAAATCCAAATTCTAACTCTAACTCTATTTCATTAAGTTTGCAAATATAGAATGAATATATCAAAATATTTCTGTATTTCTGCTTCTAAGCATCACATGGCATACACCAAACCCCTAGAAATCCAAGCCATGAATTAATTCTCCATTTCAGAATACTGTTTAAGGCTACATTACGGTGAAGAAAAGAAATGCTTCAAATAGCCTAAAAAAGTACATCTGAAACTGGAACTCAAACTTCACTTCTAATAAAAATATTCAGGAAAGCACATGTGCATTAAATAATTTGACCCCATTACAGTCTCTGCATGCTTGTTCCACAATGCAACATTAAGTCGATTCGACATTTATTTTCACTGCAGCGTAGGAGTGCCTGTTATACTTTCTAACCATTATTTTTATATTAAACATGTTAGGTTCCCAGAGAATTCTACAGAACCACTGTTATGGCCATCACAAACAACAAACAATTTTAGTTAATTAAATTATGACTTCAAAAATGTATTATGCAGCCTCTAATAAATTCTCATTGCTAAGTGCTAGCATACTATACCAACTTATTAGTCTGCAAAATTTCACATATCTTTCTTTTTCTTTTTTTTCTAATTATGTCACACTGTAAATAGGAATGGTTGACTCTTTCTTAAATCAGAGAGTTTCTACTTAGGAAACCAAGTAACTCTGTAATGAGACGTTCCAAACGGCAAATGACAGCTACATAAACAGGCACATAGCAAAGGAACATCAAATGGCCACTTGGAAATCTAAGATGTTCTTCCCTCATATGATTTTAAGTACCTTCTCATATTTAAGGAATTTCCTGCGTGGCATACTAACCAAATACACCCAACTCCGGTCTGACAGAAATACTACTAGTCATTCAATATGTAGAAGAGATGCCCCTTATTTTTATCCTTAGCAGAAGATATCAAGTGTCTGCAGTGATAACAGTAGTAGTGATGAGAATGTAACCTGAAAAGAAACAACACTAGGCATCTCATATTATCACACAATCAACAAACAGAAAAATACATAAAAGCACTTCTGTAGCCAAATGTTAGGAAGATCAAACTATTAGAACTGTACTCAAAGTCATCTGCTTAACTAAATGACCGACATAAAACCTGACATAAATTAAACTGAAACATAACTTACTGGTAAGGTTCCTGGTAAAGAAGCATCAAAGAAAGATACCAAGGAGTTAGGAGGTGCTGCAAACTGGACTTGGGAACCAGAAAAGAGTTTTGAATTTGAACTAATTTGCGCATGAATTTCCAGACCCACAACTGGTACCCAGGGAGCAAGACTGAAAAGGAAAAGGGAAATACAGTTAAAGCACAAATAACATGTTAACATCCATAAATACCTGAAAGATACAACAGTTAAACCTCTTCCTTTTTAACAACAACAAAAAAATCGTAATTATTAAAAATCATTGCAAATTTGGTTGTAAATCCATCTACCGTTCAATGGCAAAAGTTGCGCTACAGGACTGGAGACCAGAGACTAATCCACCATGTATACAGAGGGAAAATATGCGGTCAAGTGACTTTGCTATATACTGGAGAGAATGCTGTAATAAAACATAATGGTCTGAAACTTTTAACTCTTCCCTACATGAGGAATCTTACAGAACTCAATGAGGCAACTTGCATACTTGATGAACCCCAACTTGGTACTCCATGGAAATCATAAAATCATCATAAATACCAATTACTTCTCACGTAGTTTGATAAATCTCCAACAGACAGGTGGTATAAATTATATATTCTCGTCAGCTAGTCGCTTGCATGCTGGGAAAGGCGGCTCTCCAGAGCAACGTTAGTAGCATATTAGCATAAACATTAGTAATCTGGTAATAGAGAAATCATCATTTCAACTAGAGAGCTACTGCTCTCTGAACATACTGAAGAGAATAAAGCTTCTCCATATCATCGAAAAAGCAATTGCAATTTTCACATCCATAACCTTTATATGGACAAGAGAAAAGGGTCACCTTTACGGTATGAATTGCTTGACAGTTTCTGCAAGTAATTATCTGGCCTTGTACAAATGAAGTGGCACAAATAATATTTCAGTGATGAAATCACATTTCTCTGACAGGATACTTCAGCAATATAAGTACCCAGATAGCTATAGCAGATAAGTGAGCTATGGAGAAGCATTGAACAAATATATCACGAATAGTGTTCCTTCCAAAGGTGAACGTAATACACTGCCAGGATTTTAGTTCTGTGTCTGTCCTCCAACAGCTAAGGACATCCCTACAAAAACCAAACTAGTGATGCAGATATACATTGCTCCTTTAGGAAGAAGGATATTATCATAAAGGAGTAAATTTCAGATGTTTAAATGAGCTTTTACATTTTTTATTAAAACAAAAAACAAAAGCTCTTTAGCTATGTTTCAGACTATGGATCCTAAGGATCCAATCCCGATTCCAGCGCTTTCAATTAAACAAACCATGTATTACCATATGTATTAATAAGTTGGACACCTCACATAAACACAGTAGTCTACAAACGCAAGTTTTTGCAGGACTGCGGTCTAATTTCGCAAAGACAAGCTGCTTATCAATTCACTACAAAGCATATGGATGCTTTCTTAGACAAGATAAATGTGGACCAGGCAAAAAAAAAATATATCTTTCAACTTGGAATATAAGTTTTCATTATAAAAAGCAATAAGTATCTACTTTTATGACAGGAAAAAAAAACTTTGAAGTGTAAAAGGAAACATAAACTCGGTGTTTTTTTCTCTGCAATAGGCCTGAAACAATTCTGACCAATGTAAAAAAACGCATACTTCTCCAAATAGTAAACTAAATTTGAAACAAGTATGATGTAAGTGTTATAGCACTTCATCGACAATAAAAGCACTCAAGAAGTTAGGAAAGCAATCAACCCATAAGTTCTTGCACAACTTTCTGTTTGCTGTGTCTCTTTTTAGCACTAGAGCAAGGCAGCATATATTTAAACCACCTATTTAATATTTTGATTTCTGATCTTAGTTAAGAGTGACAATAAAACACATTGGATTAATTCGTATTTAATTTTGCTTAGTGCAACGCTCAGCTTGCAAATCCTGTTATTTTTTCAAATATTTTCAGTTACTTATAAAGGTATCTTAGAATTTAGAAGAGGATTTTTTTTATTTTTGCAATATCTTATTTTTCTCCCATCTTTTCCTACGTTCCTTAGAAAAGCATCTCCTTCACATCCTGGTTTTAAAAATTGCATCAGACTTCACTTGCAAGCTGATGAGAATCCTAGAGTTTCTTGCCATGTTTGCTCAAGGTTTATTTTTATTTGTGTCTCCAGGGAATCAATCTAAAGAAACATACTTCTGCTGGTGTCTACACAACTTTACTTGGGTGATCAATTGTGCAGGGAAACTTGAATCTTGACAAACAGAAAACATGAAAGCTTGGCACAGGCCATAACTCTTTTCAACTGCAGTAGGAATAAAGTGCTCAGTTCTAGGCAGTGTTGTCAAAGTTGCACATTTCTCTGCTAGATAGGAAAGTTTCCCTTAGACCAGAAGCCCTCCTGAAAAATATTTATGAGCATTTGCACAGTCCTTGGTGCAAGCACTGTTTATATTTCTTACACATGAACACTAACAGTTTTTAAGTTGCTTGCGCTGTTCAGGACTCTTCTCAGAGACAAACATGCCAAAGGCACACAGTCACACTGAGAACACACTACTAGCATTTTACCAAGTTGGGGG